ATTGTCTGTATCTACTGATACTCTGTTGTTAGACTTACCTTGTATGTACTTTCATTGTCTGTGTCTACTGATACTCTGTACTTATACTTACCTTGTATGTACCTTTAATTGTCTGTGTCTACTGGTATTCTGTAGTTAGACTTACCTTGTATGTACCTTTCATTGTCTGTGTCTGCTGATACTCTGTAGTTAGACTTACCTTGTATGTACCTTTCATTGTCTCTGTCTACTGGTACTTTGTTGTAAGACTTACCTTGTATGTACCTTTTATTGTCAATGTACCTTGTATGCACCTTTCATTGTCTGTGTCTGCTGATACTCTGTAGTTAGAGTTACCTTATATGTGCCTGTCATTGTCTGTGTCTACTGGTATTCTGTAGTTAAACTTACCTTGTATGTACCTTTTATTGTCTGTGTCTACTGATACTCTGTAGTTAGACCTACCTTGTGTGTACCTTTTATTGTCAATGTACCTTGTATGCACCTCTCATTGTCTGTGTCTGCTGATACTCTGTAGTTAGAGTTACCTTGTATGTGCCTGTCATTGTCTGTGTCTTCTGGTATTCTGTAGTTAAACTTACCTTGTGTGTACCTTTTATTGTGAATGTCCCTTCTATGTACCTTTCACTGTCTGTGTCTACTGATACTATGTAGTTAGACTTACCTTGTGTGTACCTTTCATTGTCTGTGTCTACTGATACTCTGTAGTTAGATTTACCTTGTGTGTACCTTTTATTGTGAATGTACCTTCTATGTACCTTTCACTGTCTGTGTCTACTGATACTCTGTAGTTAGACTTACCTTGTGTGTACCTTTTATTGTCAATGTACCTTCTATGTACCTTTCATTGTCTGTGTCGTCTGGTACTCTGTAGTAAAACTTACCTTGTGTGTACCTTTCATTGTCTGTGTCTACTGATACTCTGTAGTTAGACTTACCTTGTATGTACCTTTCGTTGTCTGTGTCCACAGATACTCTGTAGTTAGACTTACCTTGTATGTACCTTTTATTGTCAATGTACCTTCCATGTACCTTTCATTGTCTGTGTCGTCTAGTACTCTGTAGTAAAACTTACCTTGTGTGTACCTTTCATTGTCTGTGTCTACTGAAGCTCTGTAGTTAGACTCACCTTGTGTGTACCTTTTATTGTCGGTATCTACTGATACTCTGTAGTTAGACTTACCTTGTATGTCCTTTTCATTGTCTGTGTCTACTGATACTCTGTACTTATACTTACCTTTTATGTACCTTTCATTGTCTGTGTCTGCTGATACTCTGTAGTTAGACTTACCTTGTATGTACCTTTCGTTTTCTGTGTCTACTGATACTCTGTAATTAGACTTTCCTTATATGTACCTTTCATTGTCTGTGTCTGCTGCTACTCTGTAGTTAGACTTACCTTGTATGTACCTTTCGTTGTCTGTGTCTACTGATACTCTATAGTTAGACTTACCTTGTATGTGCCTTTCACTGTCTGTGTCTACTGATACTCTGTAGTTAGACTTACCTTGTATGTACCTTTCATTGTCTGTGTCTGCTGCTACTCTGTAGTTAGACTTACCTCGTATGTACCTTTCGTTGTCTGTGTCCACAGATACTCTGTAGTTAGACTTACCTTGGATGTACCTTTCGTTGTCTGTGTCTACTGATACTCTGTAGTTAGCCTTACCTTGTATGTACCTTTCGTTGTCTGTGTCCACAGATAGTCTGTAGTTAGACTTACCTTGTATGTACCTTTCATTGTCTGTGTCAGCTGATACTCTGTTTTTAGACTTACCGTTAGTATTGGGGATCACTTGTAAATTCATACTCGGTCATCACTTCCAATCAAGTGACTGATGATCGACTAATGATCGATCAAATTAAACTTAAATTCAGTAATTTAAGGTTATATTTGCTTTCCGGAATCTACTTTCACTTTCGTTTACAGGGAAACCCGACGTTAGATAATTTCGCTAATAAACATTCATACAAAAACAATACGTTTGTTGATAGAACCATATAATTATTGAAAAATATGTATTTGGAAATGAAAT